ACAACTTGTGTTGTACACTGTAGGACAGGTTAATATTATGAGAACAATGCTACAACTTGTGTTCTACACTGTAGGACAGGTTAATATTATGAGAACAATGCTAAAACTTGTGTTGTACACTGTAGGACAGGTAAATATTATGAGAACAATGCTACAACTTGTGAAGATTCTATAAAACAAGTTAATATCCTGACAATAATGGTACAACTTGTGAAGATTCTATAAAACAAGTTAATATCCTGACAATAATGGTACAACTTGTGAATGTTCTATAGAACAAGTTAATATCCTGACAGTAATGGTACAACTTGTGAAGATTCTATAAAACAAGTTAATATCCTGACAATAATGGTACAACTTGTGAAGATTCTTATTGTCAGGATATTAACTTGTTTTATATACCAGAATCTTCACAAGTTTTATTGTCAGGATATTAACTTGTTTTATATGGTACAACTTGTGAAGATTCTATAAAACAAGTTAATATCCTGACAGTAATGGTACAACTGTATCTGGTGGAATGTTGATAAAACACTCGCACATTCTCCATGTTCTTTATCTTAGGCAGAATGATGCAATAGAAGTATAGTGTGGTCTTAGCCTGATAAACAGGAAATGAACGGGATTGGCCACAAGCCACGCGCTTCTTGTAGGGCAGTGGATCTCTACATTTCACGGGGTACAAAAATCAAGATGAAAGCTGAAGACAAGATATCGAAAGATAGGAATTTAAGCATTCGTTGTTATTGTTATTTTTTATGTTTTTGTGACATCGTTAAGCAGAAGACAATGTAATTATATGAAACACAACTTATAAGATTCATGTATAAAACTAATAGGGAAATATAAAATGATCTGGGAATATAAATATTACTATTATTGTACACTGAATAAATATATCGTATCGATTTGAGTTGTCTGTGTTCTGTCTACTGAAAGAATCGAGCCCCGAACGTTAGTGTCATAAACCCTCAAGCTTATTACTGAGCTACCGGAGAATAACAGATAGATAAAAGCAACAAAAGTAAAGTCAAAAGGAGAAAGTTATTGTTGAATTGAGAAGGCATTAAATTCGACGGTAATTGATATGAGATTCAAGACTAATTCATAATTATTATACGAGTTATTATTCTGTCTCTGATTTAGATTCAAACATAGTTTCGATAACAAAGCTTTAGCTAAAACTATTGTTTATTGTGTTAGTATCTGGTTCTAAAGCTTTAGTTATAACTGTAGTCTATTGTGTTAGTATCTGGTTCTATAGCTTTAGTTATAACTGTAGTCTATTGTGTTAGTATCAGTTTTTCCTTCCACAAGAATAATTGAATAGAATGGTTTATGTTGAATATTTAACTGTTTCAGTTAATACTTATATATAACGATTTATTAAAGTCAAATTGGTGTAACGTAGAAAAACATATTCTATTTAGAAATTATTAAATGTATGTACTGTTTAGTAGTCACTTAACACGAACTTTTTTGTGCAGAAATATGTGTAACAAGCCAAAAGTTTCTTCACTCGTTAGTTAAGTGATGTTTATTTGAGCACACAGATAGGGACTGACCTGATCAGCTCAAAATAGTGCTCTGCTAAACAGGAAAGGTACAGATAATACAAAATACTATTCTGTTATACAGCAAAGGTACAGGTAGTACAAAATAGTATTCTGTTAAACAGGAAGGGTACAGGTAGAGAAAATAGTACTCTGTTAAACAGGAAAGGTACAGGTAATACAAAATAGTATTATGTTAAACAGGAAAGGTACAGGTAGTACAAAATAGTATTCTGTTAAACAGGAAAGGTACAGGTAATACAAAATAGTATTCTGTTAAACAGGAAAGGTACATGCAATACAAAATAGTATTCTGTTAAACAGGATAGGTACAGGTAGAGAAAATAGTGATCTATTAAACAGGAAAGGTACAGGTAGGTAGAAGGTAGAGATTAATATATAAACAACAAACAAGTATTTTTTGCAGAGAAGATAATAGATACAATTAAGTTAGTTATAGAGATTTGTTTTCTACAAGTAAGTATTTGACTCCATGTCCGTTAAAAAATTAACCCTTGTTTTGATGTCCCATTAACCATGTGGTATTTTCTCTATATATTTCTTATTCCTTGTATTGTGTTTCACCAACAACTAATAAATAATACACTTTGGACAGAAACTATAGGAAATTCACTGCCTGGTAGATGATGAAATAAACAATCAGCATAAAGTTTTAAAAGACTTATTTAAATTAATTAATTAATTACTTATAAGTTTACTTATCACAATTGTATGTTTTCAGAATATATTCTCAGCGAATTAATTGGTTTACTTAAGTTACATTTACATAATTTTCGGTAAATGTCAACTGCTGTAACAATTCTGTAAATGTGTGAATTTGGAGTAGCTGAATGGATAAGTATTTTTCTAAATCTGAAGAAGTTTACTGAGTAAGACTTCTCTAGATTTGAAGGACTTGAATGAGTAAATATTTCTCTAGATCTGAAGGAGTTGATTGGGTAAGTACTTCTCTAGATCTGAAGGCGTTGATTGGGTAAGTATTTCTCTAGATCTGAAGGAGTTGATTGGGTAAGTACTTCTCTAGATCTGAAAGAGCTTAATCGGTAAGCATTTCTCTTGATTTGAGTAACTGACGTAAATACTTGTTTCTCTTAAAATAAAAACTTGTAAACAGGTTTTGAGGTTCTGGTGGAGTTTATTGTTCTAATAAAATTAATACAAGTCAAACCAACAATAAACAGGAAATACATTTAATGTTTGCGATTATTTCTTATAATAGAGAAGTGGGTGTCAAAAAGTTTGCTAGCCAATGGGACTTCAACAGTCACAGTTTTATATATCCAAATGGTTTTTATCTGATAAGTTTGCTAGCCAATGGGACTTCAACAGTCACAGTTTTATATATCCGAATGGTTTTAATGTGATAAGTTAAAAAACCATTTGGATATATAAAACTGTGACTGTAGAAGTCCCATTGGCTAGATCTGATAAGTTTCCATAGAAAAAGATATTAGAGTAATGATTATCTGTAACAATTTGTGTTGTGCTTACACACGTTGGTGAACAATTTTACTTTAACAAAAAATGACAAACCACACCTTCACATTTGTGACGTATTTGCTGGGAAACCATTCACTGGGAAAGTACGATACACCATAAGTAACACCTTAAGCCCACCCTGAGGAGGACTTCAGGTGGATGGGTTTAGTCTTCTGCTGATTCTTTGTCTTGGAGAAGTATAAGATCATCTCCCACAAGAATTCAACACAATCTACAATAGTGATTAAAGAGATTCCCATAAAAAGGCCCAGATTTCCTCCAATATTCGCCATTAGAGTTTCCCACTGTAAAAGACAAAATAACAATAACATTAAGCTGAAGGAACCTTCTTTTAACTTACAATTGTATTCATTGATCATTCTACAATGGTGAATAAAGGGATTTTTGTGTACCCCCATTAGAGCTTCATACTTCAGAAGACAAAGTAACAATATCACCAAGCTGAAAAAACTTCTTTTAACTTATAATTGTATTCATTAATCATTCTATAATGACGAATAAAGGGATTCTTATGTTCCTCATTAGAACTCTAAACTTTATTCACAAGAAAACCCAGTTAAATAGAAGTGGGTTGTCTGAAGAATATCTTAAGATAAGGACAGCAGAAATATCAGTATTTAATTTTCACGATTGACAGCTGAGTACATAGTTCACTTTTTTCTGAATTATAAAAATAATAAAAAATTTTCCTTACTTAAAATGACAAACTTTTAACAGAGAGATGAAAACGTTTGAGTAGATTTTCTAGTTAATATGTTGGCCAAATATTTTATTACCTGTCTGTCTCTGAGTTAAAAGCTCCAACAATAACAAAATAAACTAGTATTTTGTTATCGATTCCTCATAATGTTGAAGATTAATAGGAATTGTCTTTTAAAATCAAGGATTGGCTAGAGAACAGCCTCATAATGTTCAAGATTAAAAGGAATTCCCTTTTAAAATCAAGGATTGGCTAGAGAACAGCCTCATAATGTTGAACATTAAAAGGAATTGTCTTTTAAAATCAAGGATTGGCTAGAGAACAGCCTCATAATGTTGAAGATTAAAAGGAATTCCCTTTTTAAATCAAGGATTGCCTAGAGAACAGCATCATAATGTTCAAGATTAAAAGGAATTCCCTTTTAAAATCAAGGATTGGCTACAGAACAGCCTCATAATGTTGAAGATTAAAAGGAATTCCCTTTTAAAATCAAGGATTGGCTAAAGAACAGCCTCATAATGTTCAAGATTAAAAGGAATTCCCTTTAAAAATCAAGGATTGGCTATAGAACAGCATCAAAATATTCAAGCTAAAAAGGAATTCCCTTTTAAAATCATAGATTGACTAGAAAACAGCATCATAATGTTGAAGATTAAAAGGAATTGTCTTTTAAAATCAAGGATTGGCTAGAGAACAGCCTCATAATGTTGAAGATTAAAAGGAATTCCCTTTTTAAATCAAGGATTGGCTACAGAACAGCCTCATAATGTTGAACATTAAAAGGAATTGTCTTTTTAAAATCAAGGATTGGCCAGAGAACAGCCTCATAATTTTTAACATTAAAAGGAATTCCCTTTTTAAATCAAGGATTGCCTAGAGAACAGCATCATAATGTTCAAGATTAAAAGGAATTCCCTTTTAAAATCAAGGATTGGCTATAGAACAGCATCAAAATATTCAAGCTTAAAAGGAATTTTCTTTTAAAATCAAGGATTGGGTAGAGAACAGTCTCATAATGTTCAAGATTAGAAGGAATTCCCTTTTAAAATCAAGGATTGGCTAGAGAATAGCCTCATAATGTTGAACATTAAAAGGAATTGTCTTTTAAATCAAGGATTGGCTAGAGAACAGCCTCATAATATTCAAGATTAAAAGGAATGGTCTTGTTACGACAGCGGAAGTCACGTGACCTGGGAGCATGCGCGCTGGAGTTTCTCGAAGAATCATGAATTTGCCTGGCAAATCTAGTCTGATCGAGATGCTCTCTTGTTTAATATATAAGCCTGGCATAGAGGCCAGTGATAGGCAGATAGATAATTGAGTCAAGCGAACAGTAGGCACCGTAAGTAAAGTGCGTGAATCACTGTGATTTATAGCGTGTGTTATAAGAGTTGTGAAGTTTAGAGTGACGAGGTACGTACTGATTGTGAAATTACTATGTATTAAAAGTTTGTATCGAGGAAGAATAAACTGGGTTAATCAAGAAAGGACTTGTATCGCTGAAGTTTCTCTGAAAGAATTTATACTGGAAATTAACAAACAAGCAATATGTAACAGTCTTTTAAAATCAAGGATTGGCCAGAAAACAGTCTCATAACGTTAAAGATTAAAAGGAATTGTATTTTAAGATCAAGGATTGGCCAGAGAACAGCCTCTTGATGTTAAGAATTGTTTACAAATATTTATGAACAGTTTTTAATTATCAGAATAGGTTACAAATGTTACAGAGCAGTCTTTTAATGTAAATATTATATAACATATGATTTATGATATAACTTATAATTACTGATAATATTTGCCTCCATGAACACTGAAGTAACTCACAGTAATAACTGTTTTCTAAAACTACTGATTTTAGTTACCGTACATATAACGTACTCATTCTTATTTTCGAATCACTTAACTGTGAAACTTTTATAATTTGTGCGAAATGTCTCTCGATTGGCGATTTTTTACCAGGGTTATTCTCTTCATTGATTTTTTCTTGAATGTTTGAAAATCTTCGTGTTTTCTTGTTTCGAAACTTATAATATACCATAGTCTGTGAATCTATGTACTTCAATAAGTCTATTTACTTTAGATAGCCCCTAGTGGCTCAGCAGTAAGTCTTTGGGCTAAAAACCGGATTTCGAATACTTGTGGTGGGCACAGCACTAAAAGCCCAATGTGTACGATTAACAACAAACAAACTTTTGATATTGAACTAGTTATTTTGTTTGTTGCTAGGTAACTGGCAGGCACTTTACCATTAGTGTAATTCATTTCAGTATCACTTAGTATTCCAATATTTATCACACACATTTAAACTACTCACACTGTACTGCTCCACTTCAATGGTTTCCCGGTAGCTCCTGTTTGGTATGTATACGTGGAGACCTGCAAAGTTACTAAGAAGAGAAATTTTATTATATCAAGAAAAATTCAGGTAAATTTCTCTTATTTCCACATACCAATCTTTTAAATCGACTATTAGTTAAAAAACATTAGACTTCTGACAAGTGAAGCCTTACCCTGTCTTTTCCTGTGGATGAGGTTACTCTATTGTTGAATTTATTATTTATGTAAACAAGTCTTCCTCTGTAGATGAGGTTACTCTATTGTTGAATTTATTATTTATGTAAACAAGTCTTCCTCTGTAGATGAGGTTACTCTATTGTTGAATTTATTATTTATGTAAACAAGTCTTCCTCTGTAGATGAGGTTACTCTATTGTTGAATTTATTATTTATGTAAACAAGTCTTCCTCTGTAGATGAGGTTACTCTATTGTTGAATGTATAGTCTTCCCCTGTAGATGAGGTTACTCTATTGTTGAATTTATTATATATGTAAATAAGTCTTTTCCTGTAGGTGAGGCTGCTCCATCGTTTATTGGGGCCAGTTTTACCTGTTGAATTTATTACTACAAGTATACAAGTCCCTATTATTGATTGGGGTCAGTTTAACTGTTGAATTGATCACTACAAGTATACAAGTCCCTATTATTGATTGAGGCCAGTTTAACTGTTGAATTGATCACTACAAGTATACAAGTCCCTATTATTGATTGGGATCAGTTTAACTGTTGAAAGTATTACTACAAATATACAAATTTCCAACGTTTTTTGAGGGTGACTTTTACCTGTTGAATTCATCACTACAAGTATACAAGTCTCCATTGTTTGTTGGAGTCATTTTTCGTGTTTTTGCTCCTTTGACAATCTTAAAAAAATTATAGTTCAAGTTTCCTGCCGAGCGTGTCATTTCATATTGGCGTTCCCTGAAAAAAGAAGAGATTATTATTATTGGGAGTCATACACAAGTAGAGAAGAATTAAGTGGAACAACTGAACCCTTATCAGCTTAGATAAATATAAGTTGAAAATAACCTTATTATATCTAAATATGTTTTCACTCTGGCAGTTAGTTTCCGTTGAAAGAGGTTCCGTCCTAAGACTTAGCCGTCCAAACCATATACTAAAGGCTTTCCACAATCTATCTAGTGTATGATAGTGATTATTTTCCAGCAAATATCAATAAACCCCGCATTCGGCGACTCGATCAATACGTTTTCGTATGGAATAACATTAATACTTCTTTTCATTCTCCAGCTGTTGAGCTACGAGACTGAATGGGAAGTATGATTGGAAGCTTTATCTTGGGGAACCTTTGGCCTGTTATGTTGTATACCGTTTCCTAGGGCACGTGGATGGCTTTCAGCATTCTTACTTGTTACTAAATGCTGTATTTTTCTTACAACGTCTGAGTTACGACTTCTTGCAGGTCTTTTCTCGATGGTCCTGGTGTCCTAAGGTGATCCATTTTCATTTGTTTTCTAGTACCTTGAAGAGTTATACCCGCTTAGAAATTCTATGTTCCTATCTAGAAACATCTGTATAATCCTAGTGTATGAACATTTTGCGCCAGAAAAAGCTTTTGCATACCCTTCTCAAAAGCGATTTTCGGTGGTATAACATTATCCGGGAAATGTCAAACAATGTTAAGATGTTGTTCTCGTACACTCCGTTCCACTGTGACTTTATATCGGCTATAGTTATCAGGTAACTTGAAGATTTGCATAATCCAAATCGGTTTAATACAATATACTAAAACTAGTGTAAATAGGCTCTGTACAATGTTTCGTTTTTAAGTATTTTAATGGGATTTATTATTCAAACCTTCTTTATCAAACCTGATACTATTGCAAAAACCATATCAAGGATATTGTTATAATTTATTTAGTACAGTTGTCATAGAAACATATTTATTTGAAAAGGGCTTACTGTAGTCCTATCTATAGATATATTCTGGATCACACGCCTATCGTAGTACTAGCTATAGTTATATTCTGGATCACACGCCTATCGTAGTCCTAGCTATAGTTATATTCTGTATCACACGCCTATCGTAGTCCTAGCTATAGTTATATTCTGGATCACACGCCTATCGTAGTCCTATCGATAGTTATATTCTGGATCACACGCCTATCGTAGTACTAGCTATAGTTATATTCTGGATCACACGCCTATCGTAGTACTAGCTATAGTTATATTCTGGATCACACGCCTATCGTAGTACTAGCTATAGTTATATTCTGGATCACACGCCTATCGTAGTACTAGCTATAGTTATATTCTGGATCACACGCCTATCGTAGTACTAGCTATAGCTATATTCTGGATCACACGCCTATCGTAGTCCTATCTATAGTTATATTCTGGATCACACA